CAGGATGCCAGAATGTACTGCTGTTGAAGTTGCCATCACTCTGGTTGAGTCCACTTTTGGGTGTTGTGGAAGTTCCAGTCTGGGTAGTTGGCATGCTAGCTTGATGGTCTCCACTATCCAGTGGGCCAGTCTTTAAGATGTTATTGGGTTTCCTTTAGCGTGTTCCACATATAAAACAGATAGTCTTTCAGTTTTGCGGATTGGTTTGGTGTGTGAGCAGTAGAAGTCTAAGGCTCTGCAAACATCCAGTGCATGTAGCATTGTTTCTATTGGTCCGGCTGGTGCCAGGAAGAAAGCTGGTAGGATAATATCTTACTTTAAGTGGAAGGAGGATTCCACTTCAGGGAGAAAGGAGTGGTCTGGACAGAGTACTGACTTTTCCTTGTGGAAGGTTAGGAATAGAGGGTCAATCCATAGCGCACTTAGTCTGCTCACCTTGTGTGCTGATGTAATGGTCAAAAGGAAAACCACCTTCCAGGACACCAGGCAGATGTCTGCCATAGCCAATGGTTCAAACTGTGTCTTTGTTAGTGCCTGGAGCACCATTGAAAGACTTCATCCTGGCATGATTGCTTGGGATAGTGGTATTGTGCAATTCTTTCAAGAACCTTCTGGCAAGAAGGTGAGAAAGCCATATACCCTTCAATAGTCCCATGGAAGGAGGATATAGCGGCCAAGTACATTCTGATTCACAATGGCTTTCTGTCTCTAGTATGAAGGCTGTATAGAATCATAGAAACAGAGTGAGTCAGAAGGGGTCTCCCGGGCCAGCTAGTCTGACCCCCTGCTCCAGCCGGCTCCACTCATGACATGCCCACGATGTGCTAGGGATGAACCCGTGCTGTTTTGCAAACTGAATTTTTACCACTTCGCTTCATATGAGCACCTGGTAGTCCATTTAGGCACCGCATCGGGGATTTGTTATATTTTGGGCTGATTAGGTGTTTCTAAACCTACCTGACAATTCTCCAGGCCATCAGCCATAATGTCTCTACATGGGGTGGTGAACTTGTCCTCCCTCCTGAGATATTATGTCCATCTACAAAGGAAGTTTCCTGTAGTTCTGGTTGGACAAGAGATCACAAGGCGTTCACAAGGAGATCTGTGAACTAAGGTGGCTATGGCTACCGTGACATCACTAAGATACAGTCTGTGTGATCTCTCTCAATCTTGGCCACTACTTTTGTTACAAGCAGGGAAGGTAGAAACATGTAAAACAGTGTTCTGTTTCACCACTGCAGGAATGCATTGCTGAGAGATCCTCTGCCTGCCCCTGCCCTGGAGCTGTATCGGATGCACACTGTGTTAGCTGGTGTTGCCATCAGATCCACAAGATTTCCCCATGTTGTAAATAGCTTTTTCAGGATTATGGGGTGTAGTTCTCACTTGTGTGTTGGGTCTATTCTTCTGCTTAATTTGGTGGCTATCTCATTGAATGTGAGCTTAAGTGGACTCCGGGGGATGGTGGAGGACAGGAAGGCCTGGAGGAATGTTGTCCGTGGGGTTGCGATGGGTCGGACACGACTTTGCAACTAACAACAACAACAATCTCATTGAATACCCCTGCTAGATGGACCTGTACGGGAGCTACAATGTACTCTAAGCCCCAGTCCCAAATCTGTATAGTCAGATGTGTTAACAGGATGGAAGAAGTTCTACCCTGTTTGTTTAAATCAGGGGTCCTCAAACTTTTTCAACAGGGGGCCAATTGAAAGGTTCTGGAGGTGGGTGCGGGCCCCCAAGGCAGTGCCGGCAGGAGGGGGCTTGGGCTGGTGAGGGGTTGGGGTCAGGACATGTGTGGCGAGGCGGGGGAGCGTATGCAGCCAGGCAGCAGATTGCTTGCACAGAGATTGTTTTCAAAATGCCCCATCACTGCTTGTATTTCTTTTGCCATGGAGTCTAATTGGTGTCCCTCTCTGTCTGCAGGCACTGAGTGTTCACAGTGAGAGCATCCTAGACCTGACTCCACAATCACTGTGTTTGGACAAGGGAGATGTACGAGGAAAGGGATGTCCCCCTCCTGGACTTGGTATAGACTCCCTAAGTGTTTGGACATGGGCCATCGTTGAGCCAGTGTCTTCCAAGACTCCTTCACTACATTGAGAATGATTGGCACGAATGGGACGGCCACTGGGGGAGAGTCTTCTGTCTGGATGACATCGTAAATTAGGTCAATTGGTGATTTGATTAGCTGTTGGGTCTCCAGTCGAAGAGATGTTGTTATCATAGGATCTGCTTGGAGAATCTACCCAAGTCTTTGGAAGGGGATCCTGAACCTTGGGTGGTCACAATGTCCTCCGGTGATGTGGAAGTTGGTTCATCATACTGTACCTCATCCAAATCAGAGGTGTAATCCACCAGGACAGAAGATGTGAAGGAGTGATTGGATGGTGAAGGGAACACTCATGATCATGGAGCTGGATGTGCTGGTAGTTGTTGGACATTGGAGGCTATTGGCCCTGGACATGGTGGTGCTGGGGCAAATAAGGACACAGGCCATGGATCTCTTTGGAAGAACAGGTTCCAGTACTGGTATTGGAAATCCGTTGGTCTTTGTTCCCAGGAGCTCTGTTCAAATGGAGCCATTGATGGCATCCAGTGGCTCTCTTTCTCCCAAGTGGGCATGGGAGTCACACCAGAACAACATCTTGAGCCCTTGAAGACAGCCAGGGAGAACTATTCTAAGATCGCCCCAGGATGTTGCACCGGTTAGGGAGAACGTAGCAGAACTGATGGGGGCAAATCCCTTATCTCACCCTCAGGAAAAAGTGGTGTATTCCGGACGGTGTGTCAAACTGAACAGCAAAACATGCTCCGGTTGGAGTATCAAACCTCATGACGATGCAGTTGGTGGACATGGTGGGGCTGGTGATGCAGCCAGCGTCAATCCCACTACAGGCACCCTGGAGCAGACTTGTGATTCATCTGGTGTGGGGCAATGGCGACAATGTTTAAGCTGCCATTTCCATTGGTTGCCTTTTTGGGTCATGTTTAGGCCTCTTTTTAATCTGTTTTTCAGTGGCCTTTGATGCTCATCTGGTGGAGCCCCAGCAGTTATTAATAGTGGGCGAGCAGCCTGGGAAGTGGACAGAGAGGACACAACAGTGTCCATCATCTGCAGGGTTCTGCTCCACATTTCATGAACACTATGCTCCGTTCTCCCTTGCTTGCTTCATCATAGCCTGGCAGTGAGGACAAGAGCCTACCCTATGATCTTCATCCAAGCATAGAAGACAGAGTGAACATCCGTCCATCAAAGGCACTACCACAACAAATGCATTTTCTGAATACTACCATGAATGGTGAGTGAAATAGAGGGAAGGCAGGGGTAAGGGGTATATAGAATGACCGTCAAACAGGGTAACGACAGCAAAGTTCTGAAATAAAGCATGATATACTGTTTTTTTTTAAGATACGATAGGATTTAGAATAGGAATAGAAATATTCCTGAAATCAGAAGGTAAAGATATTGAAATAGAGATGAGGGGGAAAAGTGGTTCTATGTCATGAGGAGAGCTCAGGAGTGAATGAATTTGAAGCACCCAAGGCAGCAGTTTAAAAACAAACCAGAGAAAATGGTGGGAGCCCCAGCTTTATATAGCACTGGAGGGAAGGGTGCAGGGCTCCCACAAAAAAAAGCCTAGCTAGGAAATCTCTATCTATCCAACAGCAGGCCCTGCACAGGCCAAGAGCCCATGTGTGTGATGCACACAGACCAAGAAGAATGTCTGAGAGAATGGCTTGAGTCCATAACAGAGAAGCCCAGGCAATGATGGAGTTAGCTGTAGTAATTTCTGTGGAGGCCAAAAGCACAGTGTGCAGGTTGTATAATTTGTGTGTAATTTTTTTCAATCCCTAGATTCCATTCACAGCAGAGAACTGCTAAAAAACTGAGAGTAAAGGCACCAATGAGTCAGAGGGTTTACTACATGAGAACATGTTTGGGGGAGCACTGAGGCTTTTTCCCCCAATATAGGAACTTGTTTTGCCTGTTAAATTGAGTCAAACTTCCAGGTCTTGATATAAACAGCATGCAGTGTGATATTGCAGGGAAAGGGTGGTACGTTATTCTAATAATTTTTCTTCCTCCCTCTCAGACTTATATTAAGATTCTTCTCCTACACACACCTGATCTCAGAGGCTTTTCTTTAGAATCCTAGTAGTGCTGGAATTATCCACTGAGAGTTGAGTTGGAATCAGGAACAACAGTCCTTGCTTATCCATTCTCCTATCAGCTGCTTGAAGATTGGAGCTGTGACCCATGTCTGTAGGTCTGCTTGGGTGGAGGGGGGTTTCTAACTTTGAAGGAATTATTTCTACCCTTGCTGGAATTGCAATAACAGTAGTGATTCAACCAGCTCTTGGTATACCAGGAGCATGAGCAAGAAGAGAAAGAGAAATAAAACAGGAGGGCAATGAGTTACAACTTGAATCTCATGAAACTCTTCTCCTCTTGCAAGAGTGCTTCAGCAGTCACCAGTCTGCTCATTATGTCCAAAAGTTCACTGTAGTGAGGTTGCCTTGCCCCTTGCCTAAGAACTGACTCACTATTTCCTGTGAGGCTGACATAATGAGGGATCAGCACCACCTGATGATCTTATGATGGTGAAACATGTCCCCATAATAATGACTGCAGGTGGTGCTGAGTGAACAGGCACATTTCCCCATATGTAAACTACCTTCCCTTCACTAAGGAACATTGAGAAGCCAAGCTGCCTACCAATTCCATCACCTGGAACACATAATTCTTTATGTTTGCAACCTCAAGCGAATTGACTACATATAGAAGTAAATGAATCATCATCTGTTTCTGAGCAGAAAGAACCCAAATTTTGTGATTTCTAATTCAATTCTGAATTACAAAGCAGGAAAAGTACATGAAGAGGCAGAACATCCCTGCATCATACAATCTTAAATTATTTGGAAACTTGGCTATTTAAGATACACAAAATGATTTTCATGGTTTATTCAAAGTATTCTATTTAGGAACGCATACTCACTTGGTTGGGGTTCTAGAACCTATGGTCCAATAATGGGAGAGCAATTTCTTTTCATGAGGTAGCATCTTCTTTGCCTGGAAAAATGTGTGAAGCTCTACACAAGATTTCCACAGATTTTTGCATGCTCGGTAGTTTAACATATTGAAGGCTACTGTGTGTTCCCTGGATTCATTCTGTAACAATAAAAATATGCTCTAAATTATTCTAATAAACTACATACTAAACAACAAATTGTTTGCCTGCCAATTTTTCATGCTGGCAATCTCTCTCTCTCTCTCTCTCTTCTCTGTATGGCAGGTACACAGTTTGCACTAACCCCCAAGTGTGCCCTGCTCCTTCTACCACTGCTGCCAAAGTTGCTGCCACATCTATATTTCACCTTTCCTCTAAGATCCATATAACATCCTCTGGAAAGGGATTCTTTACTCCCTGGACAAGAGATGCCCATACAGATTGTGCATTCATTCATTCATTCATTCATTAAAAGATTTTCTAACCTGTCCACCACTAGTGTCTCGGGACGGCTTACAATGAAAACATGCATGCATGTGTACATGTGTGTGCATGCCCTTGTCACTATGCACCCCTCATGTAAAGTTAGGAAAGCATTAAGGTGCATTACTTACATTTTCTAGAGTGATATGCAAAATGCCATTTCAACTACCATACTCTTTGGATCCTTTTTATTAGAATACGGAACAGTTAATGTGAATAACTAGAAATATTGCTCCCTCCCCCCCCCGAACATCTGCCGCGCTCCGTGACTCGGACCATCTGCCGCGCCGCCACCGCCGGACTGGGGCGCACCGCTGAGCCGGGGGCCAGCTGACGCCGCTCCCGCAGCCATCGCTGGGCCACCCCGGGCACGGAGGATGCCAGGGCCCGCCAGGCCTGCCGCCGACGGCGCGGAGGAGGGCGCCGCCATCTTGCCGCCGGACGGGTTTCTGCGCCCCTCCCTGCTCCCCCCCCACCGGCGCAGGTGAGAGCAACACCAGATTGGGGCAGGGCGCGCGGGCGGGCGGGCGCTGGCCAAAGGGCAGTGCTGCCGTTTGTGGCCGTTCGTGGCCGTGCGGGGCTGGGCTGGCGGGGGACTAGGTTGGTGGGGGGAAGTTTAATTTTGTACTGGGGGGGGGGAATGGGGAGTTTTTGATTGTTTTTAAGGTTTTATTGTATTTTAATTTGTTTTTATGGAGTCGTCCCTGGCCATGTTGACATTTGTGTTTCCTGGGGAGCGCGTGGGCGCCGCCATTGGAGTGGTTATGGGCAATGGACGCTACAGTGGTGGGGGCTTAACGTGTCCGCGTAGAAGAAGGAGGGACAGATGGCTGACACCTGTCCCTCCTTCTGGTTTTGCCCCCAGCCAGAGGGTTCCAGGTAGTCTTGTCAACCGTCCCTCGGGCCTGACGGTGCTGCTGCTCAATGCCAGGTCAGTCCACAATAAATCTTCCCTCATCCATGACTTGACTGTGGATGAGGGGCCCGGCCTGGCTTGCGTAATGGAAACCTGGGCGGGAGAGGGGGCGGATGTTGCTCTCTCTCAAATATGCCCGCCCGGGTATCTGGTTCAGCACCGTTCATGCCTGGAGGGGAGGGGAGGGGGGTCGCTTTGGTTTACCGAGCTTCCATCTCCCTCGCGACTTCCGGTCTCTTCGAGGCCTGGGCTGGAGTGCCTCTACTTGGCGTTGGGCAATCGAGACAGATTGGGGATTCTGTTGGTGTACCGTGCACCCTTCTGCCCAACAGTCTCCCTGCCTGAGCTGACGGAGATCGTCTCGGACCTGGTGTTGAGGACCCCCAGGATGTTGGTCCTGGGGGACTTCAATCTCCATGCCGAGACTGGTCTGACCGGGGCGGCTCAGGACTTCATGGCCTCCATGACGGCCATGGGGCTGTCTCAACATGTCACAGGCCCAACCCATGAACATGGACACACTCTGGACCTGGTTTTCTCGACGGGCCAGGAAGAGGGTGGTCTGAGGGTGAGGAATTTATGTCTGACACCCCTGTCATGGTCAGATCACTTCCTCGTGAGGTTTGTGCTTGAGAGTGGCCTCTCCCTCTGTAAGGGTGCGGACCCGATTGTGTGGGTCCGCCCTCGGAGCCGGATGGATCAGGATGGATTCCTGAAGGCCCTGGGGGAGTTTCTGGCTGACAAGACTGGTGCTCCTGTTGAGGCTCTGGTCGAACTGTGGAACAGGGAGATGACCAGGGCTGTTGACACGATTGCTCCTAAGCGTCCTCTCCCGCCGGGCAGAGCCCACTCTTCCCCTTGGTATACACCTGAATTGCAGGCGATGAAGCAGGCTGAGAGACGGCTAGAGCATGGGTGAAGGAAATCACGGGATGAATCTGACCGAACACACTTGAGAGCCCATTATCGGGCCTATGCTGTGGCGGTGAGGGAGGCGAAAAAGAAATTCTTTTCCATTTCCATTGCCTCCTCAAAATGCCGTCCGGTGGAGCTTTTTTGAGTGGTGCAAGGCCTGGTTCGTCCAGGTCCTAAGAAAGATCTGGTTCCACCCACGAAGGCCCGCTGTGACAATTTTGCCAAGCATTTCAGGGAGAAAATCGCTCAGATTCGTCACGAGCTAGACTCTACTAGTGAGTCAGAGGTTTCTGGGGAGATACCAATGCTGCCGTCTGGTCCAAAATTAATGGATGAATTTCAGTTATTGCGGCCTGACGATGTGGACAAGGTGCTTGGACGAGTACATCCCACCACTAGCCTATTGGACCTTTGCCCGTCTTGGTTAATACATAATTCCAGGCACGGGATTGGGATCTGGATCTTGGAAGTGGTTAATGCTTCTCTGAGGGAGGGTCGGGTACCTGCCCCTTTAAAGGAGGCGGTAGTCCGACCGGTCCTGAAGAAGGCATCAATGGATCCAGAGATGGCCTCTAATTATAGACCAGTGGCCAACAACCCATTTCTGGGCAAGGTGTTGGAGCGGGTGGTGGCGGGACAACTCCAAGCTCTCTTGGATGAAACTGATTATCTGGACCCATTTCAGTCTGGCTTCAGACCCAGGTACGGTACTGAATCTGCCTTGGTCGCCCTGTACGACGACCTGTGCAGGGAGAAGGACAGGGGGAGTGTGTCCCTGTTGGTTCTTCTGGACCTCTCAGCGGCTTTCGATACCATTGACCATGGTATCCTTCTGGATAGGCTAGTGGGATTGGGGGTTGGAGGCACTGCTTTGCAGTGGTTCCGCTCCTATCTCAATGACCGATTCCAGAAGGTGGTGCTGGGGGACTACGGCTCTGCGCCATGGCAGCTATGCCATGGAGTACCACAGGGGTCCATTTTGTCCCCTTTGCTGTTTACCATCTACATGAAACCGCTGGGAGAGGTCATCAGGAGGTGTGGGCTGCGGAATCATCAGTACGCTGATGATACCCAACTCTGCCTCTCGTTTTCCACCAATCCGGGTGAGGCAGTGGCTGTGCTGAACCGGTACCTGGCCGAGGTAACAGGCTGGATGAGGGCCAATAAACTGAAGCTCAATCCAGACAAGACGTTGGTCCTGTTGGTTGGTGGATCGGGCTTCAGTGAGGGTGAATTGAACCTAGTCCTGAATGGGGTTGCACTCCCTCTTAGGGACAAGGTCTGCAGCTTGGGAGTGCTCCTCGACCCAGAGGTTTCACTGGAAGCTCAGGTGACAGTAGTGGCGAGGAGCGCTTTCCTTCAGCTTCGGCTTATCCATCAGCTGCGCCCCTACCTGGAGTACGACTGCCTGGCGACAGTGACACACGCGTTGGTGACTTCCCGCCTTGATTTCTGTAATGCACTTTATGTGGGGCTTCCCTTGAAGACGGTCCGGATACTTCAATTGGTTCAAAACAGAGCTGCCAGGCTGCTGACGGGGACTGGGTGTTATGTTCACATGACTCCAGTCCTCCGTCAGCTTCACTGGCTTCCCATTGAAGTCCGGGCCCAATTCAAGGTGTTGGTAATGACCTATAAAGCCCTAAACAGCTTGGGTCCTGGTTACCTGAAGGAGCACTTACGTCCATATATGCCCGCCTGCCCCCTGAGATCTGTGGGAGAGGCCCTTCTCCGGGAACCCTCCGTGAAGGATATTAGGAGGGTAAGTACTCGGAGGAGGGCTTTCTCTGCGGTGGTGCCCAATCTATGGAATACGCTCCCCAGAGAGGTCCGCCTGGCACCATCGTTTTTCGGCACCAGGCGAAGACCTTTTTATTCAAGCAACATTTTAACTGTTAATACTATTTATTTTTTATTCTTCGGCCAGGGCGACTTATTTTATATTGTTAACTTTATTTTAATTGATAGATTTGTGAGCCGCCCTGAGGCTTCGGTGAATGGGGCAGCATAGAAATTTGCTAAATAAATAAAATAAATAAATAAAATATGTATAAAATGACACTTTTGAAACCAGGTAAAATGTTTCCTGACAGTAGTAATTCAAAACCATTGCCCTTTCAAAATATATTTCTTGCTTGAGCTTTACAAAATATCCATAATGAGCAAAAACGCTTGTTTCTGGAATAGAGCAAGTTGGTAAAGCTCCACTGATGCTACCTATTGCAGAAATGAACATTTTCACTCGTTTCAGGATTAGCCCCCAGAAGCACTAAATCTCCATTTTGCAAGCAGTGGCATCTGCATAAAATAACCATGGCTGGCTACTAACTTGAATACACAGGCAATTTTGGAATTTTTATTTAGAGGCTGGAGGGGGAAATGTTGAGGCAGCAAAGGATTGTTAGGCTTCCAGGAAGAAGGCCAAAATATACTATAGCCCATACATTTTGATGAAAGCAATGAACAGGAGGCCACAAAAGTGAAAGTTTCAGGAAGATTATTTTCTAAATAGGAAGCCACATGTGTTTATTCTCAAATGTGTCTCAACTTACATCCAGCTTTTATTTTTCCCACTACGTGTGTGTGTGTGTGTGTGTGTGTGAGAGAGAGAGAGAGAGAGAGAGAGAGAGAGAGAGAGAGAGAGTTCTCCCAGCTCTCCAAACCTATTTGTTATCTCATCTTCACCCACTACCACCAATGGACTACTCAGATCTTTTTTCTCCAATCTGGGGTAGAAAAATTGTATCCAATCCTTCTACTGCCAAAATAGTTTTGTTATTCTTCTTGCAACCCCCCACAAAATTTCCCAATACTGCTCCAAAGGGTTGAGAGACTGGATGACTCTATACTCACAGGAGTCACACCTCAGGTAAAATAATGACAGGTAATCTAGGTAATAGCTAGTTCAACTTCCTGGTCCACTGCTTTTCTTAATCTAAAATTTAGCTCCTAGTTAAGCCTCAATGATCTCCGATCAAGCTCAAGAGCACACAATCTACTACAGAAAACAACTCATAAACTCTTTGTTGTTGCAGCTAGTATACAGCAAACACCCAACTTCATAGTATATTCCCTGCTTAGCTTCAGAAGTTAGATTAAATTAGATGTATTTAAAGAATGCCTCCACGGTAAAGGAGATGAGATTTATTTATTTGTTGTTAGATTTATATCCCACCCCATTAGCCAAAATAGGGGATCCATGATCAGATCTCATGTCCTCTTTTTCTTTGGCTAAAATGAGGTTGGGGGAATGGAGTGGGGAGAGAGACTTTGATCAGTCTCAGAGACCCAACATGCACATGCACCAACACAATTAGCTACAAGAAAGATAAAGCACAGATAGTTATAATATACTCTCCAGTATCAGGAAAACAAAATAAGGCAACAAGTTCATAACTTACCACAATAGAGAAACTAAGAGAAGGATCTCTGAACACCCTGAGCAGCTACACATAAACTTTATGCTCAAGTTTAAAGTATTTACCTTGTGGCAAAATTAAAATGCATTGCAAAAAAGAAGCTTCAAACTAGAAGTGGAGAGCTAGGGAGCAGAATCTACTCACATGTTTTTGCTGCTGCTGAATAAAGAATTTCTTTCGCTTGAAAGAAATTTTTATTATATTCACCCTGAAAAGAAACAAAGTCATACTTTAAATACAGATCGCAACTGGAACAAACATTAATAGACAATATGGGCACAGAATACACAATAGCCTCAATAGCTTGGGCCCCAGTAACTTTGGTTTCTGGAAAGAAAATTTCCTGCTACCTCTCCATCACCCTGCAAACACCTCTCTGGAAGTTTTAGGGGCTCTAGAACTATGTGGGATGTAGCATGGGATGGGCTGCAGGGGGAAGGAAGAATCACACTGTGCTGACAAAAAGGCCTTCACTACTACTCTAAGCCCTCAGATATACAAGTTGGGGATGGGAACTGCCTAAAAAGCAGTCGAAAGCCTAATGGGATGGTTCTAGCCTTTTACCTATCCTGTATCAGAGGGAAAGCAGTTAGGGTTGCAGCAACAGTAAAGAGTGTCCATTTTTTGCTAATCATAATGATTCCCATTAGCTGAAGATAAGCCAGAAAGACCTCCATGTTGTCACTAAGCATTTCTGTTCAAGCTAAAACAGAGGAAGCGTTCACAACACAAAGGCTTCTCTCTGGCTGCTCTGGTGATTTGCCCATTCCTTCCAGATTTAGGAAAAGGGGAGAAGTACAGAGAAACATGAACTGAAAATGTAAGTTTTTAAACTCAGAAATGTTGGAGCATCAGTAGGACTGAAACTTTATGTTTAGTAAGCAGGTATGGATCCGGTGGGTGGGGGTGGAGAGAGAACCATCTGTCCATCCCATTAGAAAGAGCAAAGAAAATTAACCTTGCCTATCAGCTTCTGGGTGCAGTGCCATTCCAAAAAGGAGGAAAGTTCTTTGGGAGATGTCAGGAGAATGAGAGAGAAATTATTTAAGTCCAGTCTTAAAATGTTATTCATACATAAAGGAGAAACTTTTTTTACCATGGATAGAAGCTTGTACAAATGAATTTTCGATATACTGCAATGCCTCCTGAAGTGATTCCAATCATTAGGTCAAGATTATGCAAATCCTAAAAATAAGTACACACCACAGGAAAAACTAGTAAACTGAGATAGAGACTAGAAAAACTAACAATCCTATTCAACTAATGGGTAAAACAAAGTGCAATTTTCCATTTCTTTATATGCAGAAATGAAGAATCACAATAACACCAAATAGATAGGAAGGAATTAATTATTTTCTGTATTTGGGAAACTCAAGCCAGAAGTGTAGGTGCTGAGGTATTAGGTAGTCCACAGAGTTCTTCGATGCCAAGCCACAACTGTGAACATATACTGCAGTTTATTTGACATTATGAGCATACGTTATGTTGCTAATGAAGGAAATCCCACTTAAAGAAATGATGGCAAAACAAAATGTTGTAAGGAATCATCCCTAACAGCTCTAAACTTTAGCCAGCCTGGAACAGAGCCCAGGGCAATGGGAGGATGTGGAGGGATTTCTTCTTTTTCTACCTTGAAAATTTTCCATATAGTACAGGGAGGAAAACATTTTGATTTTATTGCATGCAGCTCCCCAAACTTGATCTCTAATTTCAAGATTCTATAAAGTGTTAGGTGTTCAAGCACACCAATTCCCTCCCTTTTTGTTGCTCTTGATATTCTTTGCATGTCTCAGCTCGTAATCAGCATTAGCCTTGCGAAGAATCCTTCTTCAATGGGCCTCCTTCTCCTGGTATACCCATGGAGGTTCCTCTTGCATCTAATCCCTCTAACCACCTGCTTTCGCATCCATGGCGGCACTCTCTTTCACCTCCTCGCCTAACTAACTAGAGATATTGTCAAGGCTTACACCTCCAAAACCTCCCTTTGGAGTACCATCCACCCCTCCTCAACTCCCTTGCCTTCCAGTAACCTATCCCAGGAGACTTTCCCCAGTCTGGCCTTCAGTTGGCCCTCTTGAAGTCCCAGCTTCTAGTGCTTGACCTGCTGCACATCCCCATTCCCCTGATCTCAAAGCAAAGGATGGAGTGATCTCTCGCATCCATAGCTCCCCTAATCTGTACCTCATCTATCAGCTCCTCCCTGTTGGTCAAGACCAAGCCAAGGATTCCCCCCCCCCGCCCCCAATCACCTCTCGGACCCTCTGTGTGGAAAAACACTCCCTCTATAGCTTCTAGGAAGCGACGTGACCTGCCTGTCACTGCTGAGTGAGTCTCCCAACTAATATCCGGGAGATTGAAATGTCCCATAATTACTGTGTCCCTCCCCTGAGATATCCTTAGAATCTGATCTGTCAGGATCTGATCTGTCTGATCTGTCTTCTTTCTTGTTTTGGTATGAGTACTGCCATGATCCTGGTTCACAGCAAACCATGGGCTGTTTAACTCATTATTTGCTGGGATGCACACCACATTTAAGCCATTTCTTGTTCCTGCAAACAACTTCCAATTAGCCTGAGTAAAGTCTGTGCATGTGACATCAGAAACCAGACCCAAAGATAGTTGAGAACTTAACAAGAAGTGGTGGCATTTCTCCACTGATCATACTCTCATTTTCATGAAATGTACACATTTGTGCTCTAGATGGATATTTAAAACAAAACCTGAGATAAAGGCAGACAATGCTGTTTATTTGCATCCACTGCTTTTTATGGGGAGCTTGTGCTCTGTTACTCTGGTTATCAGTATTTGGTTTTGCCTCTATGCAGTATGAAAAGGGAATGTTTTTTAAACTCTGAGCTTACTTATACATATACATACAAACTGAGTAGCTTGCCAGTACTATACAATAAGCTTCTGCTTACTTTAATCATTGCCCCCCCCCATTCAATTGCATCCCAAACTGCAATCTATTTAGCTTCTTTCAAATAAGACAGTTACTTTTATTGGGCAAAATAAATATAACCGATTATAACAATGGGAACATTGCTAGATATAATATTCTTTTTTGGGCTCACAATCCAAAGAAATCCATAACTAGGTCTGTATTCCTAATGAAAATTTGTATGGGGTTTCTCAGAAGCTGCAGATCCCATAACAAGTCTTTTTGAAAACAAAGAGGCTCTCAAAAGCAGTTGGTGTTAAGGGAAGAACTGGAAGGGCCTCTTTTTTCTCATAGAAACAAGCAAGCAAGATTAAAATTCTGCGATGCATTCCCATTCCCTGGGGCACACCTAAGTTGGTATCATATTTTCAGCCAAGCAGTTATACTGTTTGTCTTGTTTGGATAAAATTCTGGATTCAATGAATTCTAGGAGAAGCAATATTTTGCAAACCAATGTAGTCACAAATTATGGACTTGCACTACATTCTATACTGAAGCAGCCGACTTTCACTCTGATGGGATTACTATTTGCTGTACCAACTATGTAAAAACTGCAAAAAAGACAGAAAACGGAAGAATATTTGAAAAACTGCATTTTGAGTTGCCAATATTGCAAATTACTCGTCTTGAAGTTGTAGTTTTAGATAAAGATTTACAAGTAATGAACTTATACCACCCAAAAACAGAACCAGCTTAAGAATCAAGTTGCTCTAACCACAGAAAATAACACTGTAAACATACTCTACCACTGTGTAATTCTACTCCATAGAATTCAAGTGTTCTTGCTATATTAATGTAGCAGGATTCAGCTTCTGATTGTTTGAGGCCACTAAGTGGAAGGAAACAAAATATGTTAAAGGCAATAAGTTACTATAGTGATATAAAAGTCATTTGTCCATAGATGCCATTATTCAAATATAGTCACTGAGTATATTCAAAGAAAAAAAACAAAAATACTTTTTCCAGATTTCAGTCATGACTTCAGACTTTTACCATCAAAGTTTCTCCACACATCCATTATACCAGCATGGCACACTGTGTTATCAATACAGGGCTAAGTAGTACTAAAGATATTTTGTGGAAAAAGGACGTTGTCTCCTTTCATGATCAAAATAGGCTTTTGTGATAGTACTGGACAGAACCATCAAGAAACAAGCCTACTTCAGGTTAGTCCCTCAAACTTTTTGGATCAGTGTTTAGCCACTAAGCATTTTTACATTAAGAGAACCCATTCACAAAACAATGTGAATTGCTTCTTAGCACTTCAGCAAGCTCTTAGCACTATTCTGAAACAAAAGTATTCATGATAAAGGCAGGCTGCTTACCTGTAACTATCATTCTTCAAGTGATCATCTGTGCATTCACACATAAGGGCTTTTGTGCCAGCACAGATCCTAAAATCAGGAAAAGTTTCTAAAGCTGAGTGTTCAACAGTAGTGGCCAGGTGCCCCTCCCATTCCTCTTCCCAGGAGGCTGTGGGACGGTTCCCACTCATTTCATCAGTTCCTATGAAGACTGCAAAGAGTCCGGGGACCCAGGAGTAAGAAAGTGTCCACAGGCAGAGGACAGCCTGTAGCTTATGAAGGACAACAGTAATCAGGGCCAGAGGGTAGGTTGTGTGGAAGCAAAGATGACCACTTGAAGAACAACAGTTACAGGTAAGTAAACTGCCTTTCTTCTTCATGCTCTCTGCATAGCTGTCGTGCCTAATGACTCGGGGGAGGTGTTAGTACACGAAAGAGGGCCAGAAGCCCCCAGAGAGGATCAGCCTTTAGAGCAGGGAGATTTATACTTGGTGCCCACGGCACAAACAGTCCCAACGCCACCTGACTCTGAAGTTTTTGAGACAGTTCCCGGAAATCAGGAAGGGGAGTCAGTTGTCATGGAAAGTGCCCAACTGAGGAGGAGACTTCGACGCTTAGACCAATTAGAACAGAGGAGAAAGAAGTTTGTCCAACCCCCATGGAGAGGGACGTATGAGGAGATTGAGGTCCCCGTGACAAATCTCAGAGAAGTCAGAAAGGAGGGGGCAACTGTGTTGCTTAGAGCTCTCTGCAGTAGCTCCTACACTATCTGTTGTAAACATAAATCTTGTAGTCGTTTGGAATAAAGGTCTTTAGTTTTTATTGCCTGCATCTGTGTGACTAATTGGGGACGTGAGTTACGACCTTATGACAATAGCACACATATGGGCAACTAGCTGGCTTACCTCACAGAGCACAGTGGGAGCTGTCATCACTGGAGGACAGAGCAGAGGATGGCACTGCCAAAGGTGCAGTCTGCTCTTGCTTGGACATCCAGCAATTGACAAAGGGTGAGGAGGTGGACCACATGGCAGCTCTGCAGATGTCCTAGAGTAGGATTCTAGTGAAGAGGGCTGTGGAAGATGTCTAGGGCTCAAGTGGAGTGGGCCCTGGGCTGCGAGTCAAACTGAAGAAAAGAAATCTCATAAGTGAGGGAGATGGTGCTGGCAACCCATTTGGATAATCTTTGGAAGGAGACAGGGTCCCCTTTTGTCTGCCCTTCGTAGCAAAAAGAGAACCTGGGTGAGCAGCAGAGGTACCTGGTTCTGGACTTGTAGAAGGTGAGCACTTTTCTGGCATCCAGTAGATGCAAGGTGGATTCTACTGGCGTGGATGGGTTGGCAAAGAAGGTGGGGAGCACGGTATCTTGGTTCAGGTGGAAGATAAAAGTAATATTGGGTCTAAAAGCTGAGTATGAGTGGAGAACAGCCTTGCTCCAGGGGAAGTTGAGGAAAGGTGGATCCACCCAGAGGGCACAGAGCTTGCTGGTGCAGTGGGCCAATGTTATGGCCATCAGGAAGGCTATCTTCCAGTAGGGGTGGTACAGGCTGGTTGTTGCAAGAGGCTCAAACAGTCTTTTAGTTAGTGCCTGTAGCACAACCAAGAGACTCCACAATGGGGTGTGGGGTCTGATGGAAGGGGAGATGTCATGAAGCCCTTTCAGGAATTTGCGCACCAGGAGGTGCATGAAGACAAAGATCCCATGGATGGGTGGGTGGAAGGAAGAAAAGGATCACTGCCAGGCTGAACCCATCCCTGAACTGGGTTTGCAGGAAAAGGAGGATTTGTTCTATTGAAGAGGTGAGGGGTTGAAGCCTTCACAGTGAGCAAATGTGATGAAGGTGTCCCACTTAGCTGCATAGGACTTCCACATGTACAGTTTGAAGGCTGCATTCAAGATGGCGGAGAGGGTCAGCCTTGTGCATCTCGTGGGGTGAACTTCCAAGTTGTGAGTTACAGAGTCCTGATGTCTGGCTGGAGGACTCAGCCCCTGTCTAGTGAAAGCAGGTCATGGAAGCATGAGAGGTAAGAGTGATTCCCTCTGGAGAGCCAGAGGAGGTGCAGGAACCATGGCTGCCACCAAACACAAGGGGCTGATGAGGATGCAGTCTGTTAGGTCCCTTTGGATCTTGGAGATTACCCCTGGTGATCAGTGGGAAAGGTTGGAGCAGGTAGAACAGGGTCCTGGTCCATTTGAGGAGGAAGGCATCTCCAAGGGAGTCAGTCCCTTGCTCTGCCCTGGAGCAGAACTGTGGGCAGATGGTGTTTCTGGGAATAGTGCACGTCCCACAGGACCATCTTGCTCAGCTCCCATTCATGGATGTCAACACGTGAGTGGCTGAGGGTGCCTGCCAGGGCATTGGCTTTAGCTGTCACGTGGATCATCATGAGGATGATGCATTTGCCAATGCACCAATCCCAGATGGTTGTGACATGATTAGTGAGTAGGGTAATGTGTGTGCCACCCTTTTTGATGTAATACATCACCATGGTGTTGTCAGCGGTGATCTGCACATGTTGGCCTAGGAGGGTATTCTGGAAGGAGATGAGAGCTTTGCATACTACCAGCATCTCCAGGTAGTTGATGACGTCTTGCCTATGTGTTGACGGCCTGTTGCAGTGCACTCCCCAGCCCAAGTTGGAGGTGTTTGTGGTGACAGTGATAGAGGGTTCCAGGGCGGGGGGGGGGGGGGGCAGGGAGCTGCCACCTGGCAAGAGGTTAAGCAAGGTGGCCCACCAGTGTAGCCTATCATGGATGGGGGCAGGGGGACCATGAGAAAGGTATTGTAGGGATTGTCTTCCAGAGGGTAGCTGCAGACAAACCACAACTGTAGCAGCCTCATGCACAGTGGACTACTGCCACTGTGGCTGCCATGAGTCCAAGGAGTCTGAATCTTGTGAGCTGTAGTGTGAGATGCTGCTTTGATGTTGGTTGCCAGGTCTCACAGCCCTGTAGCTCCGGACTCTGGCAGAAATGTTGTGGCTGAATCTAGGCAAGGCTCCATGCCTATAAAGACTATGGACTGGGAGGGCTGCAAAACAGATTATTCATAATTTAGGCATAGTCCCAGTTCCTGTAGCAGAGAGCAGGTGATATGAATGGTGTGATGCAACTCGGTTTCAGTTGGGACCACCAGGAGCCAGTCACTGAGGTAGGGGAAGACATGAATTATTCCCTGGAACCACAGGAACACACATACTACCATCATGCATTTTGTGAAGACCCTGGGCACTGTGAAGAGACCAAATGGAAGGACAAAGAATTGGAAGGTCTCCTCCCTGATCAGGAAGTGAATGGAATGTCTATAGTTCTGATGGATCATTATGTGGAAGTAGGCCTCCTCTAGATCAAGTGAGGCGAACCAGTCTCCCTGCTACAGTAGTCATAGGATGGCTGGCAGGGAGACTATTCTAGATTCTTTGGTTGTGATGAAGCAATTGACACCTGTGAGGTCCAGGATCGGTCTGAGGCATCCATCCCCCTTAGGTACAGTAAAATACTTGGAGTAGAAGCCCCTGGAGCAGGGGTCCTCAAACTTTTTGAATAGGGGACCAGTTGAAAGGCTGTGGTGACCATTGGGGGCTCGTGAAGTGAGGGTGCCTGGGGGCGCGAGCCGGTGAGGTGCTGTCGGGCAGGTGCGAGGAGGCATCAGGCACGCACAGCAGTGGCTCGCTTGCTTGGGCATCTCCCAGCGAGTCCAAAACCATCTCTGAGTGAGCGAGCGAGCCACCATGTCCCCGCCCACGTTGTGAGGCAGCAGCAAGTGGGTGCATACCGGAGGCAGGCGGCAGTTTGCTCGCTCAGAGACCATCTCCGAGCGCACGCGTACAGGAGGCAGGCGGTGGCAGTGGCTTGCTTGCTCGGAGACCATCTCTGAGCCTGCGCGTACAGGAGGAAGGCAGCGGTGGCAGCTTGCTCACTCAGAGACCACCTCTGAGCGAGCAAGCCACCACCTCCCCGCCCATGCAGCAAGCACGCACGTGGGCTGGGAACGGCTGCGCGGGCCAGATGGAAGGCCATGGCGGGCCGGATGCGTCCCGTGGGCTGTAGTTTGAGGACCCATGCCCTGGAGGGTTGTGGTGAACCCTCTTGATTTCCCCTTGGAGAGGACAGTGTTGACCTCTGACAGGAGCACAGGAGACAGGGCTGTGCATCTGATTGTACCAAAGGGTGGAAGAGTATCAAACTTGACCCTGTAGTCTTCTTCCACTATAGACAGGACCCAGGAGTCAGAGGTGATCACTTCCCAGGTGGGGAGGAATCAGGCAAGTTGCCCATCAAAGATGATGTGGGCAGGGGATGGGGGTTGCCTCTGGAGACAGACAGTGACATTGCTTGCCCACCTCCTGCTTCATGGTGGTTGCCTGGATCTGAGTGGCCCATCAAGCCTCTTCTGGTGGAAGGTTATCTATGACTGGAACAGGCAGTCATAGTACGGACACCAATGTTGGGATGAAGTGGGAACCCTGAACAACTTATGTTGCTCTGATCCCCTCTGCTGGATCCCCATCCTTTGGGTGGTGGACCTGGCCTTCTGGATGAAGTCCAGGAGGTCAGCAGTTTGGGCATGGAAGAGGCCCTTTCAGTTGAAGGGGTGGTCTTCAGTGTGGGCCTGTGTCTCCTGTGGGAGGCCAAATGAACTCAGCTCTGCACTCTGCACTCAAGTGAAAGTCCATATGTGTGATGCACAGAGACCATGAAGAAGAAATTGCTGATATAAAAAGCATTGTCTTATTTGTCTATCTGCATTACCAAAGGCGTGCAATAATTAGCAAATACATTTTTGAATAAGCATGCTTATTTATACATAAGTTACTGTAAAAATATGCTAATGACATGTTTAAAACTGCATGCAAAGCTGCCTTTTTTGGAAGTCCCCTACATTTTATCAAAAATTAATATAAACAATAATTTAAAACAATATGAAATGAGTAGTTGTTAAAATTAATCTGTAATAATTTGGACATTGCTCTACAAATATTAATGCATAAGTATTTCAGGTTAGGAGACTTGTAAACATTACAAAAGGCCTCAAATGTGGCATGTCTAAACTATCTCTCAGAATCCGCTGGGCACAAAAAATATTGAATGAGAGACTGTTAAGCTCTATAGCAGGGGTCCTCAAACTTTTTGATTAGGGACCAGTTGAAAGGCTGTGGTAAGGTGGAGGTGCCATTGGGTGCGCGTGAGGCGGTATCGTGTGCGCACGGTGGTGGCTCGCTCGCTCGGAGATCTTCCAGCGAGACCAAAAGCATCTCCAAGCGAGCAAGCCACCACATTCCTGCCTGCATAGCAAGCACATGCACGGGCAGCCAACAGCAGCGCAGGCCAGATGGATGGCCATGGGGGGCCAGATCCATCCCATGGGCCATAGTTTGAGGGCCCATGCTCTACAGCATTGTTGTTTAGCAACTTCATATTGGTTGGGTCCACTGGGAGCATCTGAAATCCCAGATTTATTGACTGGATTAGAACCATTAGTAGGTTGATCTGAACTCCACCTTCTCCGTAACTGCCGAAGAGATCATCCTTATAAATTCCGATATAAACAATTAAACAATTAAAGTGGAACTTGGAACTAAACATAACAATTACACTAGCTGAGTGGAACTTTGCATTAGCCACAATTAAGACTTTAACAATGAAAGAGAGACAAGATAAATAGGGATTGCTAACAACACCCACACATCCTTCTGGATGTTGCAATTACCTGTGCTGTTCATGTAATGATTCTACTTTGGTTAGAAAATCTGTATTTTGCTCTGGTGTAAAGCAAAGGTCTGAAAGATATCCTGGGAGATGGATGGAAGCATTGTAGTCTCCAAGCTGAGCTTTTTGGGGGGAAGAGGTATGAAAGAATACAGAGAAAAAATATTTGTTTTAACATAAATGCAAAGTGTTTAACAAAAACTTATTTTACACAAGTATACAAATTGCCAACAGTTCTCCACTTTCCTCTCTCTATAATGAATAATTCAAAATAGATCACAGCTAGCAATAACAGAATAAATATCAATGGAACAACTACTAGACTAAACATTGATTTGCCTGGTTGAAGGGTAACAGCTACCCAGTATTTATGGTCCATTTGGGGTGCAGGGAGGTATTCACATGCCCCAGTTCCTAACAATTTCTACACACAGTTTTCCTAAAATATCATGAAAACTGCCATTTAAAGCCAAACTCAAAAGAACCTTATCATCAAGAATTAAAAACTAGAGTTTTTACTTGTTCTAGATGTCAATACCCCATATGGTGTGTTTAGAGTGTTTCCCTGGGGACCGGAGAGATCCTGGTCATAGTCCCCACTTAGTCACAAAGTTCAGTGGGTGACTTTGGGCCAATCACTCACACTCAGCCTAAGCTATCTCACAGGTTTGCTGTTGTGAGGATAAAACATGAAGCTATGTTAGCCACCTTAGGTTCCACACAAGAAAAGGAAAGGCAGGTGTGAGGAGGCAGAGGGGCTCACCCCTTTTCCTGGGGCCTTCCACAGAGCAGGGCCAAACATAACAGGGCAAGGTTGGGAACCTGTGTGGGGAGAGCAATTCACAAGAAGACAACAGCCAGGAGACGCGAGCGTGCAGCTGTATGGGATTGTGGACAGAGGCAGGAACAGCTGGGTTGGGTGGAGTGGTGCAGGAGGAGGGCGTATAAAGGAGAGACAGAGGAAGGAGATGGGGAGGAGGAGAGAGAGGGTGAGCGACTGAGAGAGACGGAAGAGAGGAAAGAAAGCTGAAACACACGTGTGGTTGGAGGAGAGCTGGTGCAGTGGTCGCTGGCAGGCAGGCCAGCGCAAACGGAGAGTGGAGACTGGGGAGCGTTCCTGCCTGGGCGACGCCATTCATTGCCATAGCGACAGGAGGGAAGGGAGCCAGAGCAGGCCAGACCAAGGCGCTGTGGGAAGCGAGCTGGTGAAAGTGTAAAGAGGCAATAAAGGCTCAGTGAGTGTACTGTCCTTCTTGTGTTGCTCTTCATGGAAACTCAAGGCAGAGGCAACTTTAGCCGGCACCCCTCTCCTGACACAGTCACAGCAGGATATAAATGCAATACAACAACAACAACAGGAAAATCAGCTGATTATTCTGTTTCTATATACTGCTTAATGGATCTGTAAAGTTTCCAGTGCAAGTTTCACTGAAATGCAGCACAATGCTTGATGACCCACTCGTATCTGGGATTGTGAGTTCCTCCTGGTTCCAAGGTCAATTGATGAGTGTTCTTTCTTGATTGTTAAATTTAGAAGCCAGACTACAAGCCAACACTTTATTTGTTCTAGCACCAAGCCAAAACTTTTTAATTCTCCCAGTTTTTTAATCAATAATGTGTTTTAATTAGGTGTAGCAAGTATGGACACTAAGGAGTTTTTAACTATTTTATGGCTGTAATAATTTGTTTTTTATGTAAACCTTCTTGATATTTTACAATTAGATGTCAGTCACGTGATTGCCCAGGCAGCACAGTTTCCACACTCCCTACTCCATCCTCCTTGCCTCACCATCCATTCCAGCAGCCCCCACGAGTAAAATCTTCATCCTTTCTCTGTTCTTGCCTATGGCCCACAGCAGCCTCCTCCTGAACCTGCATGTCTGTCGTGCTTCCCAGTTCCAGAGATTTGTATTATATGAAAATTAACAGTTTTGCTACAAGTCCCCATTTCTCCCTCCATGTATTTTCACACTGTTTCCTTGTTTCAAAAGTAATCAGAAAGATGGACAAATCATTTGGCCAATGGGAGTAAAGTAAGCAATGATGATACGTCTGCCGATTAGGGCTGAGGGCAGTAGAGACCACTATGGCAGCTGTTCTTGACAGGGGACTCCGTAGTGTTCCTGTACTCATAATAGTAGAATGGCAATCCCAGGTCCAGGATGCTATAGAAGCTGCGGTGAAGCCTGGAAACCTGAGAACATACCATGGATTCTTTCCATGATTTCAGAAAAGTGATTTTGCCATGCAGAAAATTAGAAACGGTGTCCAGGCAACACAACTGATCTACAAAAATAAGTTTTCTCCATTGCTTCTTGTGACATACAAGCCTGCCTGCTGTCTGGAGGCCATGTAATCACTCCCTTAATGCCTTTGTTGATTCAAACCTCTTCAGAGAACCCAGTTCTCAAAATGGCTTTATGTTGGCTAAGAATTCCCCAATTTAGACTTCTGGAACAGTGTTGAACCATTATAAGATCATTCAGTACAGAATTTAAACTGAATTGAATACCATCCTTTTACGTGTTCAGTGAAACAGAAGCAAATATTAAACTGCCAATAATACACATCACTACTTACACTGAACTGCATATGATGCAAGTACCACAGCTGAATTAACAGGGCATAACAACCTGAAAGAAAAAAAATGAAATGGGTTAGCATATAAAAGGAATCTAATTAACTAATTAATTATCCCATGCTTCAGGCAGCTTATAGCGAAAAGACAACATGAATGCATCCACAATTTTTACTATTAATTTACTTAGAATACCTGCACAAAGTCACTTCATGTTTTACAGTAAATCCTTAAAAGATAAAATGTTGTTTCATGTTTGTTTTGGAAATCAGGAAAGCATTTTCACATCTGCAAAATTGGTTAAGTTATTCATCTAGTGAAAACAAATATTAACTGACAGATGTACCAACGAAACTGATCCAGAATTGATTTACAGTCAACATCAGTGAAGGCTCATGCCCAATCAAACTGCAGGATCATCAGAGGTGGAATCAAGGATATAGGCAGACTGCATACCTGTAATTGTTGTTCTTCGAGTAGTCATCTGTGCATTCACACATATGGATGCTACGCCTGCGCAGTGCTTTATTCAGAAGATTTCACTAGCTTTCTATTGTATTTTCATTTTATGATGTTTTATGGGTTGTTTGTTATTGTTATTTATTTTTATCTGTATTGTATATATATTTATATTGCACTGTGAGCAGCACAGAGAGCCTTTGGCTATGCACCGACATACAAATGCAATAAATAAGTAATAAATACCTTAGCCTAGAACTTTCCATGGGAGCCCTGTCTCCCCTCCTCACTCCAATATAAAAGGCTGGCTCCCTTCATTTTCTCAGTATCAACTGAGAGCAACGTTTGCCCTAAAAGGATGCCTTTTAATGCCATGTAATATGCATGGCAATGCTAATAAATACATCAGTATATAACCTTGCTGTATGTATATACGTCCACCAACACCAACCTGGGGCCCGCAGGTGGTTTGTGTGAATGCACAGATGACCACTCGAAGAACAACAATTACAGGTATGCAACCTGCCTTTCTTTATCATGGTGGCTGTGCAACACACATACAGGTGATTAGTGATACCTTAAACAGTTGTGGGAGGTGTCAGTAAAATAATTTATAAATCAATACATTCAAGATATGGAATATGTCATGTTCCCGTGTTCAGACATTGTCATATAAACATACATTTATCAACATCTTAGTCCAGCATTCAGTCAAGTATTAGTGCAAAATGGAAGACAATACAGCTGTTATGAAGGACTCGCCCTAATGTCCAGTTTGTAGTGTTGAACAAATGTGGATGGTGTCAAGCATGTTGCTGCTCTGGAAAGATCTTCAATAGAGAAACCTGCATGGAGGAATGTCGATGTGGCAACAGCTCATGTAGAATTAGCTTTCAGTTTATCTGGCAAGTCCAGGGATGACAGTTTGTAAGCTGATTTAATGATCTTGATGATCCAGTGTGCCAAGCATTGGGGTCTGACCAGTTCTCCCTTGGAATGGTCCAAGTACCTGACAAAGAGTTGCTTTGTCTTACAAATGGTCTCAGTTTGGGAACAATAGAATGCTAAAGGATGCCAGACATCAAGGGTATGCAGTGCTCTTTTGATGTTAATGGAAAGTGATGGGTGGAAAGCTGAAAAAATAATCTCTTGGCTGATATGGAAGGCTAATGAAACTTTAGGTAAGAAGGAAGGATAGGTATGGAGGACCACTTTTTCTCTATGAAAAGTTAAATAAGGAGGGTCTACTCGCAGTGCACAAAGTTCACTTGTTCAGCAGGGTGAGGTGATGTAGATATGGAAGGGGACTTTCCAGGAGACTAGTCAAAAATCAATGGTAGCAAGCAGTTTGAAGGGTGGTTTTGTTGACGCATGTAGCACAACGGATAGGCTTCAGGCAGGAACTGTAGGTCAGATTGGAGGGTGTAAATTCTTTAGTCCTTTCAGAATGAAAGTGGATGAAAGAAGGTGGAGTGTCCCCCAGTGGGACCACAAAAAGCAGAAATTGCCGATAAGTATACTTTTATGGAAGTTGGCTTCCGGCTCAATAAGAAGAGGGAGTGTAAGAATTCTAAAATCCTCTGAATGGACACAGAGGATGGTTCAAAGGAATGGTGCACCACATATTTTCTAAACTGTCCACTTAGTAATATAAGACCACCTGGTAGTGAGTCAAAGTGCCACTGATAGGATATCCTGGATCCTAGGGTCCAGGTCTGTTGCCCTGGACATAAGGTAGTCTTGCTCAATCCATATGATTGGAGAGGTCATGTTTCAGAGTGGGTGATTCAGGTCCATTGGATTTGATTTTGTTGAGAAAGAGATAGAGGTTGGGGTAGAAACTGTGGTCAGGATGGAGAGGACAATATGGATATGAGGTGAGCAGTCTATTGGAATGGAGGTGGGTGTACCAAACCGAAAATGGTCTTCTGTTGGGCTGGTAAGTTCTGAAGTCTGAGCTGGTGGCCTTTACAAGATTTCCCTTGCCATAAGACTGAGATTCTGTATATTGGGATAGAAGATCTTTCCTTGAGCTTGGGACAGTAAGTCGGGTATTAGTGATAGACACTTTGGAGATAGACATTTCTCCAAGTCCTGTTGGAGAACTTCAGAATGGAAGGGAACCAAGACTGTTTTGGCCACCACAGCATGATCAGAATAGCTTGTGTCTGTTCAGTTCTCATCTTTGCTATGGTTATTATTAAAAGAGGGAACGGAGGGAAGGTGCAAAACAAGGTTCCCATCAAGGGCAGGAGAAAGGCATCTCCTTTTCAGAATTGTCCAATTCCGGCCCATGAGCAGTATGTCTTGCAGACAGCATTCATCAGAGTGGTAAAAACATCCACCGAAGGTGTGCCCCAAGCTGTGCAAATGTCCTTGCGAACCCAAGGTTTGAGCTCATTCATGTGTTTGGTGTGAGGAACAACTAAGGGCATCTGCAGTCATACTGTCCATTCCAGCCATGTGAATGGCAACTATTTTGTGTCTGAGGACCATTCCCAAATGCAGAGTGTTAGTTGCATCAGGGATGACCACTTTGTTCCACCTTGCTTGTTCACGTAGAATACTGCAGTGGCATTGCTGGAGACAACTTGGACATGTCTGCCAAATAAGAGCTTCTGGAATGCCAGCAGACCTTTGTAGATCACCAGGAGCTCGAAGTGGTTGATGTGAAGTTTCCTCTTTGGACCAGACCAAACTCCTTGTGTCAAGGAGCCATTGGAATGTGTGCCATGCATCAGTGGTCATTGTGGCTGTCAGTTCCATCAATTGGAATAGCAGTCCTTTTGAAAGGTTGAGTTCATGAGTCCACCAAGTAAGACTCTCATGTCCATAGATCGGTAGTTACCACCTTTCTCAGTGCATCGTACCCTGGTCAGAATGCTCTGATGAACCATAGCTGCAGTGGTTGCATTTGCAATCTGGCAAACTGGCCTATTGAAACGGTTGACGCCATGTGCCCTGGGAGCTATTGAACCTTCTGTGCTGAAGACTTCACTTTGGTTCTGCTGTCAGAGGCTGCCTCCATGAGTTTGTCCATATGGTCCCTGGGCAAACAGGCTCAAGTCGAGGACTACCCTGATGTACATGATACTCTGTGCAGGGGTGAGAATAGATTTTTCCACATTAATGCATAGGTCTAATTCACTCAGGATGATGCAGGTAGTTTTAATGGATTGTGTTAGTTAATTGCATTAATCCATTGGTATCTGCTATGAGGAGCCAACTGTCCAGAAATGGGTAAATATGAATTCCTTTCAATCGTAAATATGCACATACTGGAGCCATGCATTTCATGAGTACTCTCAGTAGATCTAATGTTGGCTGTTGACTGCCATCTTTCTTTGGAACAGTAAAATACCTTGAATAGAAACCATGCTTAGCTTCAGATTGGTGTACCAGATGAACTGTCCCTTTTGCTAGTAATGCAGCAACTTCCACTGTTAGGGTCAGAGAGGTAGGAGTTGTACAGACCAATCCAAGAGGCAGCAGGGTCTCAAATTCGATTTTGTAGCTGTCATGTATGATGGAACGCACCAACTGGTCAGATGTGATAGATTCCCAGCTGGGTGCATAATGGCTTAAGCAGTCTCTGAATGGGCAGATGGCTCTTTCAGAGGGATTGGTTCACGCTGCTTGTCAGCACTGCCTCTTCTCTTCTTTGGGGCATCTTTTGGATGGTTGGCTTCATGCACCATCCTGTCTATGGGGGCAGCCCTGCATCTGCCCATATGAAGGGTGGGAGAACTGGTAAGTCTGCTGTCTCCCTTGAGGGGCTTGATATGGGGCAGGTCGACCCAATGTCCACTTACATGCCCTAGAATGGAACGCTCCAATTCCAATCTATTGAGCAGTCACTCTCACTTTCTCGATGATATCGAGATGTTCATCCATCCGAGCATGAAAGAGGCCCTCTCAGTCAAAGGGCATGGACTCTATACATGACCATGTCTCCTGGGGCAAGTTCACTGCCTGAAGCCATGCATGTTGACAAATGGAATCACAGTCAACATGATGGTGCATTGTGACAATTTGTTGCTTCAACAGCTATATTCCTTCAGTAAGGAAGACCCTGGACAGCTCCTGCTGCTAGTCCAGTAGGAAAGCTGCCAGAGCCTCCATCTTCTACCACAGAAAGGCCTGGTACCTCCCCATCATGGCCTTGTAGTTGGAATGTGGAGGTCCAGGCCCATTGCTGAATAGATGCAGCATGCCATCGCATCCATTTGTTGACCTTATCTGTCTGTTGGTGCACTGTGGTCTCTATGTTGTCTGCCTTGAGTCGATTCAACAATCATGGAGTTTGGACAGGGGTGATGTAGAGGGCAGGGGATGTCTTGTTCCAGGACATGGTACATCCCCTCTTGGCAGCAAGAAATTGTTGTGAGGATGATTGGGAAACTCCCAGGGCTCCATCACTTTTGACAGGGCCAGGATAAACACTATGACAATTGGAACAGCTTCCCCTGTATAGATGATGTCATATCATGTTTACTTTGTAGACTGCTGTACCTGGCTGCCCAGTGACTTAGCCATACAGAGGACCTGTTCCAAAAACTGCCCAAGGCTTTCACCTTGAGATCCTGGGCCATGGCTCTGAGATAAGACAACATCATCTGGTGGAGATCAGTTTGATAGGCTCTGAGGAGTTAGAATCAGCACAGTACATTAGGTCTGTTGAATCACAACCAGAAGATGGAGAGGGCAATCTTCGAACGCCTTCCTGTGGTTTGTTGGCCTGGGATGTGCTTGGTTCCTACTCAGTGAGATGGATGGGTCTTGGGGGTGAACAGTACTGGGGAGCACTCCACGATGGAGCTAGCCATAAGGGCCCACTGTAGGATCCCAGGGGTAGGCCTGATAATACTGTACTGGGAATGGATAGCAATATGGGTGTTCACCAAATGGTTGTGGAGCTGGCTCAGTGCCTGAGATGGAATGCTGAGTGGACCCCAGAGATGAATGTGTAGGAGACAGGCCATAAAACGGGTGTGGTGTGTGCATGATCAGATCTGGTAATTCCAGACAATGTGATACAGGCTTTGGTGATGATCAGGTCAGAGAACCTCAGATTTCACTGTCAGAGAATGATGCTGGAGTAGATTGTTTATGTCAGGCACTGTGCTCCGACGGGATCAATTCATGGGTCAGAGAGTCTCTCAGTTCCAATGGTACAATTGGAGACGCTTCCTTGGATGGAAGTTTGCAGTGTTCCAGACTGGTAGGGGAGCATTGTTCCAACCATTTCACATGCTTCTTGGTTGTTTTCAGCTTTTTTTTTTCTTCCATTCCTGCACTCTCAGGTTCAAGATGCATCCTTTTTTCCTTCCTTTTCCTCAGGATCTCTGGATTGGTAGGAGGCTCAGAACATAGACAGCTTGGTTTTGGTCAAAATACTGATGGTAGAGCGTTTTCTGGAAGCCTCCTTGGAGGCCAAACTGCTCTGCCCTCCTTCCTCTGTGACACAATGCATGGCTCCAAGGGCACACTCCCACATTCCCATCTGTAGTATTCCTGCCCTATTTTATGTGCTTGCTTTGTAAATGCCTGACAATATTGGCATTTTTCAACAAGGTGCTCCTCGCCTAAACAAAACAGGCATAAGGAGTGACCATCAGTTGAAGGCATTTGACGCCGCAGCCAGTGCACTTTCTAAAGGCTGGTTTGCTCGGAGACATCAGGTCAGAAGAAACAAGGAGAATCAAAGAGAGAGAAGATGATAGAAGGGTTTTATTTTGTTTTGGCGGGGAGGGTTGGTGAAGAGTATAGGACAGTTGTGACAGCTGGAATGGGGTTGGGAGGGGTCAAAGACTATAGAAGGAGTGAAGGGGTAACAGATAAAGAGATGATTGTTGAACAATTGGTGAAGGGGAGTTTAGATAAAGTGGAAAATTCTGAGGTAAATGAGAGGAAAAATGGATGCTAGAGAATCCAATGCACTTCTCAAATGGAGGCTGAAAGTGAACTAAGAAAATGGCAGGAGCCACCCATTTGGGGGAGGGGAGGTGGGGCTCCTGTGGAAAGTTCTAGGCTAAGCTAGAGAAATCTTCCCAAATAAGGCACTGTGCAGGTGCAGCATCCCTATGTGTGATGCACAGAGACCACAACAAAGAAGTATTTTCCTGCAACACACACCTCATAAGCTTTGCAGCAGAAACCATTTGCCACAAAAAACATTTGTCAACCCATAAAATAACACAGGAAAAAAAAAGTGTGAAAGAGCCTACTTAGTGAAAGTAAAGGCAAAGGAAAGGGAAGAAGCCCATTTCACAAACAGGCAAACTGAGGCAGCAGGCAATAAAGTCCTTGGCTACAATAGTTTGGGTTACAAAATCACAGCACACTAATTCACATAACCAATACAGAGAAGGGTTTTTTTTTTTTTTTTTTTTTTTTTGGAAGTGGCTTAAGAAAATACACTGCAATTATCCCAGTATGCAATAACAGAGAGAAAGATATTGGAAGAGACAGCTTCTTCATATTTTGAAGTTAAGAGATAAGGGAGAACAAGAAACCCATATCATACACAGGGCAAATTCAGACAGCAGCAGTCAAAATGAGAGTTTTGGTTACATAAACACAGGGTATTTTAAAAGTGTGCCCCAGCATCAGTCAAGAGGAATTTAGTTAGGAATATATGTGTTCTAAGATATTAGTTTACATCATTTAAAGGATGGAAAGCATTTTTAAAACCATATGTCCCCCATGTGTCTGCGAAGGATTATACAAACAATAAAATGGATTTCAAGCTTGGTCTGCAATGAACTTAGTAAAGGCAAGACAAATGGAGGTCAAAAACTGGCTCAAAGTTACAAACAGTTCAGCCCACCAAACCATTTTCTAATAGAACTCATCCCCAACACTTGAAAGCAAACGAGAGGAGAGGAAGAAAGGCAGGTTGCTTACCTGTAACTGTTGTTCTTCAAGTGGTCATTCATGCATTCACACACCAATGGGGCTTGATGCGCAGTGTAGGCCTCATCCGGTGGGAACTTCCAGAGCTGGTCGCCATGGAGTGGGCGGGAGCAGGGACCGCCCTGTGCTCTGAGTGGTACATAGGTGGCGGCTTCCACCCATTCCCTCAGTGCCTGAAGACCGCGCTGTCCCAGGTGAGGGTGAGGGTGTTAGAGATCTATTTGGATAGTCTCTGGCTGGAGACAGCTTCCCCGGCTTTGGGGCCCTCGTAGCAAATGAAGAGGCACACTGAGAGGCGGATGGTCTCAGTCCTGGACCTGTAGTAGGCGAGGGCCCTTCTGATGTCTAGTAGATGCAGGGTGGCCTCAATGGGGGTGGACGGGTTGGGGAAGAAGGCGGGCAGGATGACTTCCTGGTTCAGGTGGAACGAAGATGTCACCTTTGGGGTGAAGTTTGGATGTAGACGAAGTACAACCTTGTCCCTGTGGAACATCGTGAAGGGAGCATCGATCTGAAGGGCTGCTAGCTCACTGGCATGTCGGGCTGATGTGATGGCCACCAGAAAGGCAGTCTTCCAGGACAGGAGCCTAAGGTCTGTTGTAGCCATTGGTTCGAAGGGCCTCTTTGTGAGGGCCTGCAGGACTACAGAGAGGCTCCAAGAGGGAGAGTGGGGCCGGATTGGTGGGGCAAGGTTGCGGAGGCCCCTGAGGAAGTGGTGTGCCAGGGAGTGGGCAAATATAGAGGACTCTTGTACAGGGGGGTGGAAGATGGCAGCTAGGTTGTGGAAGGCTTTGGTGAGGGTGGCATCCAGGCAAGCCCCTATGAAGAGTACAGATTGTGTAGGGGAGAGAACAGATTTGTCATGGTTTATGAGAAGCCCCAGGTCCCAAAGGAAGTAGTGTGTCAGAGACAGGCTGCGAAGTAGATCCTCCCTGGATGGGGCCACGAGGAGCTAGTCATCCAGGTAGGGAAAAACCCGAATCCCTTGGAGCCTGAGGTGGGCACAAGCAACTGCCACACATTTGGTGAATATGCATGGAGTCGTGGCTAACCCAAAGGGCAGGACACAGAACAGAAAGGCCTACTGGCCGATTTGGAAGCGCAGAAAATGCCTGAACTCAGGGTGGATCGCAATATGGAAGTAAGCGTCCTTGAGGTCTAGAGAGGCAAACCAGTCTCCTTGGTTAAGGAGAGGGAGAATGCCCTGCAGTGTGACTATCATGAACTTCTTAGGGGTGATGAATTTGTTCACCTTCCTTAAGTCCAGTATGGGCCTTGGAGTCCCATCTTGCTTGGGTACTGTGAAGTACCTAGACTAAAAGCCCCTGTGGTAAGAGGGAGAAACACACTCAATTGCCCCCTTGTCCAGTATGGCTTGTTCTTCCGCCCATAGGGCAGGCAATGGGGTCATGCTCCTGATGTGGCCAAGAGGTGAGAGGGAGTTGAATTCTATTCTGTACCCCAGCCTGATGATGGAGAGGATCCAGGAGTCTGAGGTGATAGCCTCCCACAAGGGGAAGAAATGTGCCAGGTCATCTGTGAAGCAGATGGTGGGAGGTGGAGTAGCAGATGAGGTGATGGAGGGCCTGCCTGGGCTAGGGCATCATACTCTGCTCCTGTTGGCCTGGTGCTTCTGCTGGGGCCTCTGGTGAGGTTGGAAGTCCCACCTTTTGTTAGCAGGTGGCGCTCTGGAGCACATGTGGCGGGCCAGACCAGAACAGCGTCTGGGGCCTACTAGGTTCCCTGCCAACTCCTCTGTGTCAAGCCCTGGCCAAAGCCCACGTACTTTCCAGTGGTGCGTGCTTTGTAGAGAGAGTTCATACTCTTGTCAGTTTGGGTATTGAAGAGGCCTTCGGTGTCGAAGGGCAGGTCTTCAAAGCAGGCTCAGGTTTCAGCGGGGAGAGGCAGAATGCAACCAGGCATGGCGGCGTATAGCCACTGCTCTCATCATGGCCTTGCTGTCACAGTTGACATTATATCGAGCTGCTTCCAGCTGGAACCTGGAGAGGTCCTCAGCCTCAGTGTGCATGAGGCAGACGGGTTCATGCAGGTGCTCAGGAGCTGGCCCACAATAGCTCCCAACTTTTCCCATAGTGGTCTCATAGTTGGATATTCTGACGCCAAGTGCAGCCGCAGCATAGAACTTTTTGGACATAGCATCCAAGCGGCGCCCCTCTGTCCACTGGGGTGGACTGGTCCCTTTGTGAGGAACCCTGCATGGCCTCCACAATGATGGAGTTGGGCCTAGGGTGGTGGAGTAGGAGGGGGAACGGCTTGACCATAACTTTAAACCTGGATTCAGCCCTGCATGAGGTGGTCAGAGGGTCAGACGGGGCCTTCCAGGACTGCTGTGCTGTGCGCAGCAGGGCAAGCATGACCGGGATGGACACTGTGGTGTTGTCCCCAGAGGCAAGTGCATCATAGCACGGGTCTGCCTCAGGTTTAGGGGGCTGGCAGGTTTGGAAGTTTAAGTCCTCAGCCATGCAGAGCACCATATCAGAGAAACTACTCCCCTTGGCAGGTGAAAAGGAGAGATCCTGGTCCCAGGCCTGCCCCTCTAGGGAGTGGGGAGGGGAGTGGGGCACCCCGAGGAAGGGGAGTGGCTCTGACCTGAGTCCTGCAATATAGACCATCAATGGCAGGTGCTCTTGTCCCGATTGGTGGCGCATGTGCATTTGTGGAACAAAGCAGGGCTGCAGGAGTGGTGGCGCTGGTGGGGGGCGGGCTGGGGTAGGCCACGTTGCTTGCAGAGTCCTCGCTGTGCCAGCAGTGCTTGTTGGGCCTTCGAGGCCTGTCCTCGTATCTGGAGGTGCTGCTCGACTCGCCACTAGGTGAGATCCTGCAATGGCGAGGAGCTGCAGTGCTGTAATCCTATCCACAAGAGCTCTGCTTCCTGCTGGTGTGATCTGAGCGCCATGTCTCGGCCTCGCGCATGCCTCCTGGGCGCTGGCTGTGAGGCAGGAGAATGTTTGCGCCTGCTCTCTGGAAACAGAGTTGTTAGAGGAAGAGAGGCTCCGTGCACGTGTGCCCTCCTAAGCCTCTTCCTTGAGGCCTGGGGCCTGGGCCTGGCGAGGGGAGCATGGGTCTCCGATGAAACCGAGTAAAAATCCACTGGGCATGGCCTCCCTGTCAGCAGAGAGTTGAAGGTTGTGGAGCTTTAGAGTGGGGAAACCTCTAGCTGCTGTGACGATCCCCCTCAGTTCCTTTACGGTGTGGTGTTTCTTTTCTTCACCGGCGCCGTGGTGTTGGAGGGGCCTTCCCCTGTCCTCCTCCTTGTCCTGGTGGGCTTAGAGGAATCTTCCCTGGGAGAGTTATCCACTCTTGGGGTAAAGGATGTGAGGGTATGCCACCATAAGGCCCGTTTAAGACGCGTGGCTCTTTGCCGGCGCGTCTGCTTCTTAAAGGCCTGGCAATGGGTGCAAGTCTCCACGATGTGCCCCTTGCCGAGGCAGAGGGGGCACTTAGGGTGCCCATTGTTGGCAGGCATCTAGCTGCGCAAGAGGTGCAGCAACATGGAATTGAATTGGCCATGCGGTCCCTGGAGGAGCGCACATGGGCGATTCAAGGAAGAGAGAGAGAACTGGAGATTGAGAAAGGTAAAAGAAAGTGCCAGCCTTCTCTCCACGCGGTTAAAGGAGAGAAGGGTTTTTTTTCCTTCTTTTTTTTAAAATAGAAGGTGAGAGAGAGAAAAAGAAAAAATGGTGAACCGTTTAAGCTGGAGAGGTCCGATCCAGACGTGGCTAAAAAGAAACTGCGGGAATGGGAGGGAGCCCATTCAGGGAAACGCAAAAGGGAAGCTGTGGGGGGGGGGCGATTGCAGAGGTGCACTGCCTTTTATGTTTTAAATAAAGAAAAGATGGTCTTCTTGCACCTTCCCCAGAAAATTACAAGCCAAAGTGCATCCAGGCAGCAACCCGGTGCTCGGCAGGGCCTTGCAAGGGAGCGCCACTGCGGGCAGATCAGCATCTCCCATCTCAACCAGCATCACCAATACACACGTGCTCACTCAGCCAACACACACCTTGACACTTTTTCTTGAGGCAAACAGCGGCCTTTGTGCTCACCAGCCGGAGTGGCATGGGGCATGTTGGGGCAAGCTCTCACGAGGCTGCCGACCTGACATACTTTCTTCCTGAGTGTCAAGCTTTGTAAATGCATGAATTGTGGAAATGGATTTTATCGAAGTATTTGTGCTCAGGGAAATGACTTGCCACTGCGGAAGCCCCTATCCACCCAAAAATAGCCAAGTGCAAGCAAAGGAGTACAATCATACTGGGTTGATGATTATTATATTCATGAAACTCTCCCAACCCCTCACTCCCCCTCCCACACAAAAATGGAGTTTGAGGTGCTCAAGATGAGGCAGGCAGAGCATGCTGCTGCCCCCACACTCACACACCTTAACTGAGCCAGTGTAGCCAACCACATTAACTCTTTCCTTGCCCAGATGCGTTCCTTACCTTAACCATAGCTCTTTTGAACCCCTCTGCTTTGCACGAGCGGACCGCAATCGCGATTGCGGGTATGCTTGCGGGGGAGATGGGCACGATCGTGCTGGTGGGAGATGCACGCGATCGCAGGCATGCTCAGGGGGAGACGTGTGTGATCCTGGATGTGATCGTGATCGTCACCCGATGCAGAGTTTGCAACCTGAGGCAATTTTTTTCAGAAATTTCTGTTCACGACCCAATTTGGTCGTGAACTGACGCATTCATGAGCCGAGGTACCACTGTACTCCTTTCAGCAACCCAGTTATACCCTATATACTTGTGAAATTCCATTGTTACAGGAGCTCAACCGTGCCTGTTTGTACTTTACAACCAGCAGTTTCTCTAAATGTTTGCATGCTTTCCCCATAGCAGTACTGAAATTATATCTTTTCTCCTTGTCTGTTCAACAATTAACCAATCAAGCTGCTTTAGTAAGTATTTGTTACCTTCCTTCCAAAATGTCAGACTTCAATTGCAAAAAGAATAAATGTCTAAAAAACAGAATTCAGGAATAGTTATTGCAATTAACCAACTGCATTTTAAACTCTTGCATTAGTATTGTTGTATAATCTAAACATATATTTTTCTCATTAACTTACATGCACTCAGACTGACACACAAACACACGCACCATGTACTTTTAAACTGTCCAAGAACTACAATTCTCTGAACAGTATACGAGCCATTAAAATTTAGAAAAACCCAGCACAGAATAAAACCAAGATCAAACCAACAGCATATACCAAAATCATTGCAGAACATAAAACCAAAGTAAAACCAAAGTAAAAAAAGCATTTAGAGAAAATTATGTTGGCTCAGTTAAATTAACATATAAGAACTAGAAACCACCAGAACACAGAATGTTAACAACAGCGTTCATACTTCACAACATCACACATATGAATGAATTAATTATTAAACAAATACTGTCAATGTTATACTGGAGTACCTTCATATTCCTAATATTTTTATACATTGTTTTGCAATAGCTTTGTTGTGCTCATTTCTGTGACATAGGTACTCGTTATGGGGTGCTTCATTTGAACATCCTAATTGCTTTATGGAATGACATATGGCTCATATAGGATAGTTCGGATTCCAAGTGGTCAGAGGCTGGGGTCTGATGTTGAAGCTGTGAACTGGAGCTCCAGCCACCACCCTGTCACAGCTGGCACTGAAAGAACCATGCTGCTGCACTCTGAGGTCAGGAAAGCCACTTGACTATTAATTTAATACACAATATTAAGTACTTACTAATGCTGGTTTTGCTTAACTGTTTATATACTAGAGCACTTTAACAATCAACTTTAAAATACAGTTCTATCACACATAACTATTTTGCCAAATGCATGTAAAATCAGCAATCCTGATTTTCCTACAAATGCCAGATTAAGAAGGATTTTGACAGTTCTTAACATATGGCTACAAATCTGAAAAATAAAAACAATTACCTAGTTTCTTCCTGTTGCAATGTGTTTGGATCTGGTATAAAAAACCTTACACGGAAATGCAGGCTGCAAGGGGAAACTCCTACAACAGTTCACAAAATTAAAATCAGTATTACCTATTTCCATATTTTAGATGAGTATGTGTGTCATTGGGAAAAAAAGTTATACCACTTGAAATACACAATGAGATTTGACTCTGAAAAAAAAAAAAATCTAGTGCATTATCTTCTTAAAGTACAGAGTCAGTGATCCTCCATTACTATAATCTTAACTCACAGAAAGATCTCAAAAAGTGTTAAAAACATTTCTTTAATATAAGCATTCATAATTGGCAAAATAAACATAATTTGCATATAATAAAACATAATAATATTTTATTGGAATAAATCCATGTTCTTTCACATTTAATTCAGTTGAAACAATACCTTTGACTTAGGGACAGTGAAGCCTCAAATTGAGTATAGTGGAGAATTTGGATGATTTATTAGATCTATCTTAAGAAAAAAAAACCTCTTACCTCCACATAGAATACTCTTTGCTGGTTCTTTACCTAGTTGCTGAAATTACCTCAGCGAGTTGAATCCCAATCATCTATGCCATCCCTTCACCACCCTTTTATTGCCTTTCAGTAGTATGAAATTATTCACAGGATCCCCTTCAATACTGTTAGTCCTTCACAACTGTATTGTATTGGCCATGAACCATGCTAATCACTACTTGTGAATCACCATAGAAAACTGTTTATGAGTGATAAATGCAAGTGGATGTTAAAGCATTACCTTTTAGCTGTTTCCGAATAGGCTTGCCAGATTCAAGCCATCTCTGCAAAAGTTAAAAAAGAAAAGTTAGATGGCTTGCTAACTGCAAACGCTTAGGATCTGTACCCTAAATATTAATACATTTCCTTACTAGTGAATCTGCTGATGCTTCACAGTACTGTAAACCAAAATATTCCTTCTCTGTTATGTATAAATGATTATAAGCCAAATCCAGCAACACCTCACCAGGATCTTGCTTCTGAAAAAAAAAAGTGTGTTTAATAACATAATTCAATAGTTCTGCAAAACAATAAAACTACATCTTTCAAACCATTACCTAACAGTGTTAAATAAAAGTGAGATTTCTACTAAGATTAAATGGAGGATCTATAAGCATTAATACATATTTTCTTCATTTCTCTTCATAAGACTCTACTGCAGACAAGAGTCTTAACTTATTCACATACAAAAGAGCTTATTTGCAATATTAAAATATGCAGCTCTGAGTAAGGTAGTAGCCTTAATTGGCAAGATATGGACAAATTAAAATAATTAAAGGATATATTCTGATATTCAAATTCTACTTTCAACATAATTATTTTTAGGAGGACTACTGTATAGGATCATATTATGTACATGGAAACACACACTATATGCAGAATTAGATGTTTTCAACATTGCTAGTTTAACAAGATTATGAAAAAATGCTGCTAGTCTTGTTTTTGTAACTGTAGGAAACTGGTTCTGTCTAAATAATGGACAGAAAGGTTATCACCTTAAATTGTGACATGGCAAGTAGTATAACTGCATATGCTGCCATCATATGCTAATTATTATAATGCTTACTGCCAAACAGTAAAATCAATGCAAATTTATATATTTCCTCCCCAATGTCTTTTGACATGGGATGGGAGTGGTCATCTATGGCTTCAAAATTTCAGTAAATTTTGCATCTCTGGTTGCAGAGAGGCAATAGTTTCTTCAGAGAACTGAAGTACATTTGAAATAGGGATCACCACTGTTGTTGCATAGCTTCTCCTCACCTTCACCTCTGGAATTGTTTTAAAAGCTGAAAAACACCTGTTCAATTGGAGGAGAATGGGGAATAATATAAATGCTTGTGCATTATGGGAAGCAATTACACTCTCAAGCCACTTTCAGTTCTTATAAAAACTTCCATCTCCAGTTTCAGACTGCTAAACAATATACCAGCAAAAAAACAAATAGGAATAAAAGGAAATACTATTGACACAAGTGGTATGAACAGCCTGAGGCTTCATTCACCACTCTCCCCACAACACACCAGCTTCAATGTCAGGGCTGGTTTAACAGAATAACCCATAGCTGGTCCTTCACAAGTATGAAACTGGATGATAAATATTTATTTTTGCATTTGTACGCCACATACTTCAAGTGAAGTCACTGGATGGCTTACAACACTTACAATTACACAATCATTATACAATAAAACTAATACAAACATACAATAGTAAAAGTAATAAACTATCATAAAACAACAATAAATAAGTCTTTACAATAATTCCACTAAATCCACTGGGGGAACAACCATACGATGATAAGTTATTACAAACATAAAGTTGTTAAAATTTATTGTTAAAATAATACCTAGAAAAAAAAGAAATGTTTTCACCTGGCACTGACAACAGAATAATGTCAGCACCAGGAGAATTTCTCCAGGGAGTTTATTCCGTAAGTGAGGGGCAGCACTGAGAAGGTCCTTCTTCTACTGAGGGATGGCTCCTTTAGAAGGAACTCCTGCCCAGATCTTAGTGGTCAGGTAGGTATATACAGGAGAAGGCAGTCCTTTAGGTAGCCAGGTCCTAAGCCATTTAGAACTATTTATAGAACTCAAAATGAACTTAGAACTAGAATTTATATAACTATAAATTTATATACCTGTAAATATAGTTATTTATATACCGATACATACTCTGTTGCAGGATGAGCTTCAAAATATATACAGGAAAACAAAACTGCACCACATTTAACATTTATTTCATGACTTGGTTCATTAATCAGCTGTACTGACTCTGTTGGCAGAGTTCACAGATGACCACCATATCTCATACTTTAAGCCACTTCTTTTAGAATGCAATTCTAAGAACTTTTTGTTTATGATAATATGAATCTTAGCTATAAGATTTCTATGAAGATTCTGAAGTTCATTATTATTATTCTACCCTGTTTGAAAACCTTGAGACTTACGCTAACTTTGAAGCTTTGCACTGAGCCATCCAGAAAGTGGACGTTGCAAATTATCTCAGACCGAGTTCGTTCCTTTGCTAGTTCTGTTGCACGAATGTTATTTATTCTCCCACCTAGTGCCCGTAGACGAGAGTTCATAACTATTGCTGAAGAACCTGGAAGGGAAGTACAGTTTGATATCTCAGAATGCGATACTTAGACTCAGAAGACCACGCGTCTTCTTTCAGTTCAATCCTTGCATTAGAAGAAAGTCAAAAGTCAAAATATCAGAATGTCAATGGGCTTTTGAAAATGTGCTGGAAAACAGTTCCCTTGTGTATGCATGTTTATAAAGCAGCCCAGAAAAAAATATTTATTTGAAGTGTAGGATGCAAAGCCCATTAATAAATAAGAAAAAATATTGTTAACTCAGAAAAATATTTGCCATTATAATCAGAATGGATGTGCATAGTGAGTCATCCTTTTTCTCACAAATGGGAATGACAATCATCCAATTTAGTAGAAATTACAAAGTTGTAGACTGGATTTACCACTGAGCAAAAGCCAGACTTGCTTCCTGTTCCTGACAACTCCCAGAACTGAAAATCAGACCTGTATCCCTCCCACTATCTATGTAGGGTTCCATCCCTGGTTCTTTTTCTTTGAACATGTTGATATATAGCAACAGAGGTTATTCAGGATCTCAACTTAAAAGTTACACAGAATTAAAAACAGAGCATTTTATATCTGTAATGAGTATGTTCTACAAAGAGTGCATTTGTTTTAAGTGCTTGTTCTAAAAAGATAAAATATTGTCAAATTTTCAGATCCAATGCTATAAAAAGGCTGTAAAAATGTACATTACTAAATTTGTTCAAGAAAAATAGTTCTATTAGTTCAATAGTTTCATATCAGTTCATATGACTCAACCTACTACAATTAAACACCTATTACCAAGAAAATAACAACACTTAAGTCAGGTTAAGGAACATCAACACACTGCCCTTTCTGATAATTCTAGGGTGTATG